TTCCTGGAAACAATATTATTGTTCTCAATAAAACCAGCATTTTACAGACACTAGATTTGTCCGAGTGGGATTGATTCAGTTATCACTAGGGTGATACTCCTTTGGACTGTCAGTAGCTGTGAAAGCCTTATCCAAAGGTTGCAAACCAAGAGCATTACTTCAAGAATCTTGAGTGAGGGGTGTGGATAGAAGTGGAGGCAATATAAAACACACTCCACCTTCAAACGTTTGGAAGTTTTACTGCTGAGTGACAGCTGCTATAGGATTACTGTTCAGCTGTAAGTAGGCAAGAGAATATTCTGAACCCAAATACATAACAGGGTGACCTGCATGACTGCAATAAATCCACATTTTTGACTGCTTGAATTCCCCATTGGTGGACATCAAGACACTGCTCTCACTCCTCTGGCCTTAAGGAATGTGCTTGCGCTGTGTCAGCCTTAAAACGATCCACAGGAAGCTTTCGTTGAAAAAAGCAAAATGAAATCTGTATGAAATCATTGCGTCTACTTCACGCCCCGCACAACCCTTTCCTAATGGGCCCTGCTTTGATCCCTGTTTGTGCTGGCCGGCCCCGGGCCTCCCGGCGCAGGAAGGGCTGCACACAGATGTTACGCTGCCAAACAGCTTGTCAGCGGAGGAAGCCAAGTCACTTTTCCTGTAGGAAAATCCCCAACAAAGTGATTTCTGTCACAAAAAGTCTAACCTGGCTCTTTTCCAAGGCAGGCTGCTGGACACCATTCTAGCACAAGGCGTTTTGAGCTGCATGATAACGGACCCTCCTTAACCTTTACACAAAAATCCAAGCGTTGATTTCATTCACCGTTAAACAGATAAAAGGACTAGTGAAAAGAAATGCTGTGCTGGTAACCCACTGCACTCGACTGAGGAGTCAACCATATGGAGCTCAGTGATCGCTACATGTCTTCTATAAAGATATCCCTTAAGGACGCAGGTGTCCAGAGAGAAACTATTGAGTTTCTGTGCTCTTACTGGAAAGACTCCATCTTACAATAGGATTTACAGCAGTTTTTGTGCCATGGATAGGAAACAGATAAAGTTCTTCGATCAACCTTAAGCCACTAATAATAAGCTATTTGGCAGGCAGGATTAAAGGGGGTAGGGCCCCAAGTAGCCCTAAGACTTATGCTTCTGCTTTAAATTCTGTGTTCCCATACATTAACAAATCTAAAGCATATGATAAGATAATGATCTTCTACTTCAAATCCTTTTTTTCTCAAAAAACAGCAAGAAACAAGGCACTGATGTGTTATTGCCCATTTTATCACAGATAAAGAATTGCAGGAGTAGGAAGTTCAGGTCAACTCTTTAAGGTCTGCTGATGTCAGGACTCTACATGCTTACAATTTAACCTAATTAAGGCTCTGAAATTATGACTGAATATGGAAAAGCACTGGCTAGAAAGTGAATCTGCCAACCTCAAAGCACTTCATTTTTTTTAACTGTCCCATTAAGAAACACATGCAGCAGTACACATCGCACTGACAAGGAGCGCCATACAGATTTAAACACAGTGTGATCTCTAAACTGCATTTTAAAATGCAATTTTGGAAGCCACCAGTGTGGACAAAGCTGATGGAAGAGGGGAAACCAGTGACAGCAGGATCTGTTTGCCAGAGCCTGACCCTTCCCGCCTGACCGCTGCCTGCCTGGCCAGCCGAGGCGCCTCACGTAGCACACAGCTTCCGAGGGGTGGAGAGCACACTCGTCCTTAGCCTAATAGCTCATTAAATCCTGGCTGTCTTCTCTGTGTCCTGGCCAATAAACAACTGCTGTATGCATTTAAATTGTCCATATCCTGCTGGCAGAGCGTCTCTCCATCCAGCTATAAATGACAGAAAAAAACAACCCAAAAAAGAGGCCATATTAATTACACTTAAGCCGTTCCTGGAAACCTCTACAGAAAAAGATCTAATTAATTATTTAACATGGGTAGCAAAGAAAGCAATATGCAGATACTGGGGAAAAACAGCAGCATTGTAGGTGGGTTTGATTTGATTTACAAAAAGAACACAAGTATCAGTTCAGCCATGGGCTCTCTCATGTACCTTGGATCATACTGAGTCAGCTTTTGGGAAAAATTACCACAAAAATCTTATAAAAAAATCCCACAACACATACAATGCATAACATTCAACTATGTACCTTAGTAAGTCTATGGTAAAAACATCTTCTTACTAGGAAATCTTCCAAATACAGTGGGTAGAGAATACTAGTGGTTTAATCTTTTTTTTTTTTTCTCTATCCTGTTCTTACCCAGCTAAAATCTCTCTAAGACTTTCTACTGAGTGAGCTCGTCATTGAAAGCATGCTCAATTTACCCAGAAGCTTGGACTTCTGCTGCTTTTCTGGCCAAGGACTTCCTGAGCAGCAGAAGAGAAACCTTCCTGCTTGCTAAGGGTCCTGTGAATGAACACCACCAGACTGAAAACATCATCACAGAAACAAGTACAGTACAGACCAGTAACTGTTGTTCTCATAGTTTTTCTGTACATATTTGTAGCAGTAAGATGTTTCATCTGACTGTCTGTATTTAAAAACTGCAACAGCATATTAAGCTTTTTTAGGGGAAATGCTAAATCAAAATCTCATTTGAAAAAAGCCTGAGAGGTGAGATGCTGGTAACACCATCATTATCAAGGGCTTCTAAAATTGCCTGGAGATGAAAACTCCCAGAAAAGCAAGAATAACGAGTCTGTTTCTTCCTAGAAAATTGACACTTTGCTCTGTGATGCAGACAGTAAAAATAAATTCCTTTAAAGACAAGTATTAGAATCCCAAAATACAGTCAAGTCAGTATAGCTGTATCCAATAATTCTGCAGCAGGACACAGGGCTTTTTGTGTCATAAAATGAACAAGGCAAGAACCACTTCAGCTGTATTTTACACACTTACTAAAAATACAAACAGCAATCTAGAGTAAATGCCAGATCCTTAGGTAGTTAGAAAAATAATTTCATTCTTTTCTTTATTAAAAAAAACCCACAGCAACTTTATCTCTAAATGTGCTAAAAAAACTAAAATCCCAATATTATGATCAGCTAACACCAGTTCAAAAAGGAACTGAGAAAAAAATCAGTGATCGTTGTGACTAGGAACCTTATTTCTACAAAAAACCCAATCAGTAATGGAGAGCCACAAAAACATCACCATCATTTAGAAAAGATTGTCCTCATTTTTAAGATATTTCTAAGACTCCAAAGATCAAGAATATACATTCCAGTGATTGAATATGAAGAAAAGGAAAGAAACTTCTAATTATATAAGTTAAACCAAGTCACATATACTTTGACATATCTTACATTTATTCTGTTTGTAGACATCTAGGTAAAGAGGTACCTACCTGAAGCTGTCAGCAAATTTAATATTTCCAGATCTATTTCTTGCAAATGACACAGGAAGGGAAAAAAAAAAAAAAAAGAAAAAAGAATCTAATTTCCTAGATAGCAAAAGATAGGCTGAAATCAAGTTACTGTATATCTTTGTATGATTTTTCAATGAAACGCGTAAAATTTTCCATAATGACCTTTTAAAAACCAGTCAAGGACTGAATTCAACTCTTTATTTCTGAAGTCCTTCCTTCATAGATGATGACTTCCAAAAAGGTTTTGATATTTTATAAGCAGCACAAGCAAAACTAAATTAATACAAATATAGTTTTGTGTGTGTGTGTAATGCAAAAACTCCCAAAATTTAACAGAAATATTTGCTACTAGCATGTCATATATAGTAAATGATAATTTTATTTTTAAAAAATGCACACAAGCAGACCATTAGCACATATCAGTATTTGTTAGGGTGAAAAAGCACTTGCAAAAAAAAAAAAAAAGAAAAAAACATCAACATTCTACATATTATAAACAACTAACAATGAAATAGCATGTTTAACAAGCAGGTATTGTCTATGCATGAACTAACATGTTTTCATTCAAAAAATATATATTACTTAAATACATATTCTAAATTACATATATTTATCTGAATGCACTACTGTTCAAAAAACACAGCATATATCTATAAAAACAATTGTGTTCTCAATCAGAATCAGTTTTTGTATTAGCCCTGTATCAGCTGAACATTTACATATGTTTAACCTGAGGCATAAGTCAGTATTACTCATTTCAGTGAACAGCAGCTCTTGTACTCAAGAGAGAAATACTTAAATACCTGAGTGGAGCTGTGTCACCGTGAAAGGGTATATCAACACATTCAGAGCTTAAACACTATCTGTATCTAAAATACTTTCCTACTTATATTTGTAAAATATTTCTATGGTATACTCCTGAT